TACCCTGTAGCTCAGCTAATTATTAAAACATAAGGCCCCGTACTTAATTAGTGACAATGAATAGCTGTATTCTAGGTATTTCTCAGGGGGGTTAATCTCAAATTCAGAGCTGTTCACTATTTTTTTTTTTAAACTCATGTGAAAGATACACTAAGGAGGATTGCTTAAGGGATTTGTAATTCATCCATTTCTCTGTATATATAGTGAAATATACTCCTGGATTAAGGCATACCATACATAGAATCTTGCTTATGATGAAACAACGGAGAAATTATTTTCTGGTTTTAATTCAAGCATAGATTTGCTTTCCTAATAAAATAATTTGCTTTTTGCATTAGGACATGAAACTTTTCTAATCTTCTTTCACTTTTGACTCATTTTCTTATTTTTAACTTATTTGATTTTGCCATATTATTTGTACCTTAATATACTTTATTTTCTGAAAAAAATATTGCATACATACATTTAAAAACACTATCTAAATTTTTCTGCACCCAATATCAGAGCACCTAAATATATAAAGCAAATACCAATAGAACTAAAAGGAGAAATAAACAGCTATACAGGAATAGTAGTTGAGGACTTTATCCCACTATCAACAATGGATAGATCAGACAGAGATTCAATAAGTAAACAGTGTATTTGAGCAACATTATAGACAAAATGGACATAACAGACATATACAAAATATTTCATCCAACAGCAGCAGAATACACATTCCTCTCAAGTGCACACCAATCATTCCCCAGGATATAGCATATGTTAGGCCATAAAACAAGAGTTAGAAAATTTCAGAAGACTGAAATCATACCAAGTATCTTTTCTGATCACAATGGTATAAACAACAAATCAATAACAGGAGGAGAGCTGGAAAAGTCACAAATACATGGAAATTAAACAGTGCAATCCTGAACAAACAATGGATCAAAGAAGAAATCAAAAGGAAAATTAAAAATATACCTTGAGACAAACAAAAATGGAAATACAATATACTAAAACTTACGGGATGCAACAAAAGCAGTTCTAAGAGGGAAGAAGTTTATAGTGATAAATGAATACATCAAGAAAAAAAGAAAGATCTCAAATACATACTCCAACTTTACACCTCAAAGAAGTAGAAAAATAAGAACAAACTAAGCCCAAAGTTAGCAGAAGGAAGAAAATAATAAAGATTACAACAGAAATAAGTGAAATAGAGAACAGGAAAACAATAGGAAAGAATTGCAAAACTAAGAGTTAGCTCTTTGAAAATATTAACAAAATTGACAAACCTTTAGCTAGACTAACAAAGAAAAAAAGAGAGCGGACCCAAATATACAGTTATAAATAAAAAGGGACATTAAAACTGATACGACAATACAAAGGATCATAGGAGACTACTACTATGAACAATTATAGGCCAACAAATTAGACAACCTAGAAGTAATGGATAAATTTCTAGAAACACAAGACTGAATTGTGGAGAAACAGAAAATCTGAACAGACCAATAAAGAGAAAGGAGATGGGACCTCCCAACAAAGAAAAATCCAGGACCAGATGGTTTTACTGGTGAATTTTACCAAACATTTAAAGAAAAATTGATGTCAATCCTCAAACTCTTCCAAAAAAGTAAAGCAGTAGGAACACTCTCAGACTTATTTCATGAGGCTAGCATTGCCCTGATACCAAAGCCAGATAAGGAAACTACAAGACAATGTCCCTGATGAATATAGATGCAAAAATTCTCAACAAAATACTAGAAAACTGAATTCAACAGCATATTAAAAGGATCATAGACCATGATCAAACAGGATTCATCTCTAGGATGGTAGGATGGTTCAACATAGAGATATCAACAAGTGTGATATACCACAATAGAATGAAGAATAAAAATTATAAGATTATCTCAATAGCTGCAGAAAGAGCATTTAACAAAATTCAACATTGATTCATGATAAAACTCTCAACAAATTAGGTATAGAAGGTACATAACTCAACATAATAAATGCCATATACTCGTATGACAAGCCCAAAGCTCACATAATATTCAATGGTGAAAAATTGAAAGCTTAGATCAGGAGGGAGTAAGACAAGGGTGCTCACCCTCACTACTCCTGTTGAACACAGTGCTAGTAGTCCTAGCCAGAGCAATTAGGCAAGACGAATAAATAAAAGGCATTCTAATTGGAAAGAAAGAAGTAAAATGATCTCTGTTTGTACATGACATACTTTTCTATAGAGAAAGTCTTAAAGAATCCATGAAAAAACTGTTAGATCTAATCAATAAATTTAGTAAAGCTGTAAGATACAAAATCAGTAGCATTTCTATACATTAACAAAAAATTATTTGAAAAAAATAAATTACATTTACAACAGCATCAAAACAATAAAATACCTAGGAACAAATTTGACCAAGGAGTTGAAATGTCTGTGTACTGAAAACTATAGCACATTGATGAAAGAAATTGAAGAAGACACAAATAAATGGAAAGATATCCTGTGTTCATGGATTTGAAGAATTAATATTGTTAAAATGTCCATATTACCCAAAGCAGTCTATAGATTCAATACAATCCTGCCTGGATTCTAATGGCATTTTTCACAGAAGAAAAAAAACTTCTAAAATTCATTTGGAAGCACAAAAGACCCTGAATAGCAAAAGCAACCTGAAGAAGAAGAACAAAGCTGGAGGCATCACGCTTCCCAGTTTCAAACTATATTTCCAAACTATAGTAATATAAACAGTATAGTATTGGCATAAGAACAGAGGCTTAGACGAATGGAACAGAATGGAGAGCCCAGAAATAAACCCATACATATACAGTCAACTAATATTTGACAAATGAGCCAAGAATACTCAATGGGGTAAAGATAGACTTTTCAATAAATGGTGCTGGGAAAACTGGACAGATATATGCAAAAAAATGAAGCCGGACCACCTTCTTACACCATACACAAGAATATTTAAAATGAATTAAAGACTTAAATGTAAGATCTGAAACTATAAAACTCCTAGAAGAAAATATAGGAAGTAAAGTCACAGACATTACCCTTGGTAATATTTTACTGACATATCTCCCCGGGCAAGGGAAGCAAAAGGAAAAATAAATATGTGGGACTATATCAAACTAAAAAGTTTTTTCACAGCAAAGGAAACCATCAATAAAATAAAAAGGCATCCTATCGAGTGGGAGAAGATATTTGCCAATGACACATCTGATAAGGGGTTAATATCCAAAATTTATTAAAAACTCAGACAACTCAATACCAAAAAAAACCAAACAGCCCTATTAAAAAATGTACAGAGGACATGAGAGACATTTCTCTAAAGAGAACATACAGATAGCCAACAGACATGAAAAAATGCTCAACATCAGAGTCTGGGTTGTGAACACACAATGTGATATATAGATAATATATTACAGAATTGTACACCTGAAACCTATGTAACTTTACTAACCATTGTCACCCCAATAAAGTTTTATTTAAAAAAATGCTCAATGTCACTAATCATTAAAGAAATGCAAATAAAAACCCCAATGAGATACCACCTCACTCGTGTCAGAATGGCAATCATCAATAAATCAACAAACAACAAGCGTTGGCAAGGATGTGGATAAAAGGGAACCCTCGTGCACTGCTGGTGGGATTGCAAATTGGTACAGCCACTATGGAAAACAGTATGGAAGCACCTCAAAAAGTTGAAAATGGAAATACGTTATGGCCCAGCAATTCCACTCCTGGGTATCTATCCAAAGAAATCCAAAACAGTAATTTGAAAAAATATATGAACCCATATGTCTATTGCTGCACTATTCACAATAGCCAAGATATGGAAACAACCGAAATATCCATAGATTGACGATTGGATAAAGAAACTGTGGTACATTTATACAATGGAGTATTACTCAGCCATAAAGAAGGATGAAATCTTACCATTTGCAACAACATGGATGGACCTTGAGAATATTATACTAAGTGAAATAAGTCAGACTGAGAAAGACGAATACCATATGATTTCACTTATATGTGGAATCTAAAGAACAGGATAAATGAACAAACAAAACAGAAATAGACTTAGAGACATAGGAAAAAAAATGTTGATTGCTAGATGGGAGTAGTGGGAGGGGATGGGGATGGGGAAGGTGAAGGGATTAGAAAGTGCAAATTAACAGACACAATATAATCATGGGGATATGAAATACAGTATGGGAATACAATCAACAATGTTGTAAAGATTATGTAGGGTGCCAGATGGGTACTGGACTTATCAGAGGGATCATTTCATAGACTGTGTAGATAGATGCATGACCACTGTGGCGCTACACACCTGAAGCTGAAGAATAATAATATTGTATGTCAACTACAGTTAAATATATACATATATATACATATATATATATATATAATATATAGTCACGGGAGGTGGAGTATAACATAAGGAAGATAGTCAGTGGTATTGTAACAGTTATATAAGATGTCAGAGGGGTAGTAGCTTGAGGGGGGGGGTTATCACTTTATGAGGGGTGTAAATGTCTAACCATTATGTTGCTTTTTACACCTGAAACTAATAAAAAAACAAACAAAAGAATGAAACTAGACCCTATGGTACACCACTCACAAAAATTAACTCAAAATGGCTTAAAGACTTAAATGTAAGACCTGAAACCATAAAANCTGGTCTTCACGGCAATATTTTTTTCATGGAAAAAAGAAAAGGAATAAATTAGAATTTTGGTTTACATATCATAGTCTCTAGTAAGTTTGGATGGCATGAATCATGACTCTGGATTTAAATGAGCTCTGGGGGCTAACAACTCTTAAATTTCTGTCTGCAAGCTGAGGACCGGGCTCTAGAATACAGAGTGAAATCTCCTTCAGCTCACTTTCATACTCTTAACGTGTTTTGCTAACCATTAAGAACTATATTTGAAATATAATGACTTACAAATGTGCCAAGCGTTTTGAACTTTTAGCTTTCCATGTGTATTATATTGATTATTCTCTGTCTTTTCCTATAAGGCTTATTTTCAAAGCGAGCAAGAAAGGGAAAGCTGGGTAGAAAGTTGGGAGAAGAGTAGGTCACAGTTATCTGAACCCATGTCAGATCTCTAGGGGTAATGCAAGTGGCCTTTGGGTAAGATAGATCTGGGAATGGTAATAGGTAAGGAGGCAACTGGAATGACAAACGGCAGAGAAGAGCTTGGAGCAGTCAGGGTGAGGAAGAAACTAATTCAAATAGGTAGGAAGAATTCGTATGATTCAGTGATTCAATATTGTGTGCTGTGATGGTGTGTTAAGGATCTAACAAGAGGCAAGATTTCAAACCTAGGTCACTCCTGAGAGCTGGATCGCTCTGCTATTGATCTTGTTGGGACAACTGGGAGGAAATATTCCTTGAAGATCAGAATACAGTGTTTACTAAGTATTTACGCAAGCACATCTTGGCCAGTGTTCTTGTACATGCGCTTATCTTAACTTTTGTTTTTTTTTAGTTATTACAGGCGTCCATAGAGCAGAGTTAGGCATTAAAGGAGACACAAGCAAAATCGTCTGTTTTAAACAAATTTGGTAAAATGATCCAATTATTAAAAGAACCCGACTTTACTTCTTGTCATCTGGTTGCCGTCTTTGCATCTCAGGCACCGTGTTTCTTTTTAATGGTGCTTCTCTTCCTAGACTTCCTTACTTTCCAAGGCTGCGGAGAACTAGCTGTTACACAGGGAGGGCCCGGGACTCCAGCTTCCACGCCTTCAGCTTCGGTGCCATCCCCTGCCCGGGGCTGGCCGGCGAGCTGACCGACACCCACAGCCGCGCGCCCCGGGGCCCTGGCCCAGACCGAGGCCCAGGCCGTCGCCTGGGGCCGGCGCGTGGCGGGGTGCCGCGGCCTTCGAAGGCCCGCGACGCGGTGCACATGCCTGCCCTTGCCCGCCTCCCGCGTCGGCGAGAAGCAAGGGAGTCCGGACGTGCAGAGGCTGACCCGGAGCCTACCCATGAGGCAGCGCGCGGGCTCCTCGCGAACCCCCCGCCCCCCCTTCCCGCGGCTCTGCTGCGTGCTCCGCAATGGGAGCCGCCGCCGTCGTTGCTGTGTAGGTTTTCGTGCTCCTCCTTTTCCTCCTCCTCTTTCTCCTCCTCCTCAGGTCCCCAGTCAGGCCGATCCGCTCCGTTCACGGTAAGCGCCCCCCGCCCCCGCCCGCCCCGCGCTGCAGCAGGCAGAGGCCCTCCNGGGGTTGTCTGAAACAGTAGGTGCTATCTGATACATGTGTAATCTGATCTTTTCCTAAGGGCTGAGTCCTTTTGTTCAAAACGTACTGGGGCTTTTTTTGGTTAAAGCTTTTCAAAGTCATCTTTCTCTTTGGAATCTAATAAGTATTGTGTTTTCCAACCCTGCAAGGCCTCCAAATACTGGACTTTATCTATTCCTGTTCATTTGTTTGTAAACTGGTTAATTCAGTTCTATGCTTATCTCTTTCTGGCAATACCTTGCTAATCACATAAAAAATCACCAACATCCACTAATAATATTGCTTTCTGAACTCTTCCCTTAGAGCAGGGGTGTCACACTGGTGGCCCGAGGGATGCATGCGGCCCTCGAGGTAATTTTTTGTGGCCCACGACGCTCTGAAATAAAATGAAAATAGAAAAAATTGTTATGAAGAAAATAGCACTTAGGGGAGATCGAGGCAATACTGTACACACAATTTTGTCATTAACCCTTTAACTACTGAAGACGAGTATACAAAAAATTACCTTGAGGGCCACATGCGGCCTTCCGCCAGTTTGACATCCCTGCCTTAGAGCAACAAATTATGTACTTATACTGATCTGCCTTCGAAAGCAGCAGTGTAGCCACTGCCTAATATGAATCTTCAGTTACCCAGCTATCTACATGTTTCCTTAATTCCCACATGGGTACTATGCTAAACTAATGCCACATATTTTAGATTTTTTGTTATAGTAGGCCACCATTTCTATTATTAATCAGGGTTAGTGATTGCAACAATTGTAACTGTGGATGGAAAAAAAGATACTATGGAAAGTAACTTCACAGGGTGATCTGATCATAAATTCCTAACTGGGCAGGTCTCTGTGAAAAGTTTATCTTTGCCTTCAGTAAGCCCTGTCCATGTTTCTATGCATTTAGGCTAACACACCTTTGAAATAAGCCACCCTTAAGAGAGCACATAATTTTGTTAACTATCCTGTAATTCAGCTCCTGCCTCGCTTTTTCCCACCTGTGTGTAATTTTCCTTACTTCCCTCCTTAATTTCAAACGCATGAAAGAAGCTATAAAACTGTTATTCTCTGGAGAATTTGAGATCTTACTCCNAAAATGGCTTAAAGACTTAAATGTAAGACCTGAAACCATAAAAATCCTAAGACAAAACAGGAAAAAACGCTCCTGGACATTGGCCTTGGCAATGATTTTTTTTGGATATGACACCGAAAGCATAAGCAACAAAAGCAAAAATAAACAAATGGAACTACATCACACTAAAAAAGCTTTTGCAAAGTGAAAGAAACGATCAACAACATAAAAAGGCAACCTACAAAATGGTAGAAAATATTTGCAAACCACATATGTGATAAAGGATTAATATCCAAAATATATAAAGAACTCGTACCACTCAATAACAAAACAATGCAATTAGAAAATGGGGCAAAGGACCTGAATAGACATTTTTGCAAAGAAGATATTGAGATGGCCAACAGGCACATGAAAAGGTGTTTGACATCACTAATCATCAGGGAAATGCAAATCAAAGCCACAATGAGATATCACTTCATATCTGTCAGGATGGCTATTATCAGAAAAACAAGTGATGATAGGTGCTGGGGAGATGTGGAGAAGGGGAACCCTTGTGCAGTTAGTGGGAACATAAATTGGTGCAGCCACTATATAAAACCGTATGCAGGTTCTTCAGAAAATTAATAGATCTAACTATATGATCCAGCAATTTTACTTCTGGGTATATATCCAAATGATATCATTGCCTCGAAGAGATATCTGCAACCCCTGTGTTCACTGCAACATTCTTTACAATAGCAAAGACATGAAGTGTCTATTTTTGGATGAATGGATAAAGAAAATGTGATATATGTACACACACACACACACTGGGCTATTACTCAGCTATAAAAAGAAGGAAATTCTGCATTTGCAGCAACGTGGGTGAAACTTGGTCATTATAAGTGAAATAAATCAGACAAATTAAGGCAAAAACTATGCTCTCACTTATATGTGGAATCTACAAAAAAAATCAAACTTAGAAACAGAGACTAGATTGGTGGTTGCCAGATGCACGGCATTGGGGAGTAGGCAAAGTGGGTGAAGGGAGTCAAAAGTACAAACTTCCAGTTATAAAATAAATAAGTTATGGGGATGTAATGTACAGCATGGTGACTATAGTTAATAATATCGTATTGCATATGTGAAAGTAGCTAAGAGAGTACATTTTAAAAGTTCTCATCACAAGAAAAAAAATTTGCAACTATGTATGATGATAGATGTTATCTAGACCTATTGTGG